TGATGTCACCTCGATTGGTGATGAAACGTTTGCAACCAAATTGCCCAGCTCAGCGAACAAGCCAACGACCATCTACGCTACCTGAGCTACCGACATTCTCCTCTATAGAATTCCTAAAATGCTTCCTACTGCAGGGTAGTAGTAAGGCGGAAATTGCAGAACTTTTCTGATCCACTAGAGGGGTGATGTATCGTACCTATCAATCCAATGGTACTGCTTACATGATCAGGGTAGAGTGTCCCCTCTACGATTGGTGGTCCCCGCTAGGTGGAAAATGACGGACCAGAGATCGAACATCCTAGCCAAAAATCCAGTGGCTGCATATGCTTGGTGAAAAAATGCGCCAGTTGAAGTCATAGGGGGATGAATGTTTGTGAGTAATTGTCATCCTCCGCTATCTGTTTGTGGTACGCCGATCCACCCTATGAATCTTGCACACCGAACCCATAACCACACAGAACGGGTGGATGTGATCGCGGACCGCTGAATCAACTTAACAATAAACCCTACCATACGCCTCAAGATGCTGCCGAATGGATACAAAACCACCAGTAGTATCCATAGGCTCGAACTCATAGCTATGCTAGAAGGAAATTTGTCACTTTTCCCGCTGCATTTTGAAGCACCATCAAGGCATTCTTAATTTATGTTCGTGGTTCGCCCTTTATCTCGTCAAACCATTCCTCTAAGGGACAGGACACTGGTACAGTCACTTTTCCCGCTGCATTTTGAAGCACCATCAAGGCATTCTTAATTTATGTTCGTGGTTCGCCCTTTATCTCGTCAAACCATTCCTCTAAGGGACAGGACACTGGTACACAAACTAAAGTTCATCGAAGGTAAAAAAAAACAAAAAATGGGTTATAAGCTACATAGCTGAGAAGTACAGTGTGGTAATTTTTCCGAGTACAACTGGATCAGAATAGGCTGGACACCACGGCTTTACATCCAATTGCAAAATAGGTTTTGTCGAAAAGATACAAAACAGTCTTACTTTCACATATCCCGCAGTCATTATAATCGGTTTTGCATTTCCTTACATATAGCCAATCAGATTTCTCAACCTAGTTTGCCAATCTCTACAGAACTTTTATAACAAACCTATTTTCACTTCACTTTTAGGCTGCATAGATTAAATCTTGTGATGCTATTAGGAAATTTGCTTTTTATGGTTTCTACGAATGGGGATATCTACTGAAAATGAAGATTCCGCTGATAATTAATGATGGGATGATAATGGCGGTGACAGTCTATTGTGACCATAGGACACTTAATATCAAAAAAATAAACGCACGAAGTTTATGAAGTATAAGGTAGGATATTACTGAAGAGAGAAGAAGTTGGAAACTGCGTTTTGAAAGGAAATTTTTAAGAGCGGTGAATGCGTTCTCTGTCTTCAGACTCTGTACTTAGGTTTAGCGAGACACCTTGCTGCTTATACCAACACTACCTCGCTCTAACATCACCGTTTGTGTTTCTAAAAGTGATGATAAATGGAAAAAACTTCAGAATTAACTCTGTGTTCAGTCTACCGGGTAGCTGCTTACAAATGATAAGAAAGGGTCCCGGTACATTTTTTGCGTAAGTGATTGAACCAACATTTCGATAACTATTATCTAAGATATTCTATTAGGTGGATATATATCTGTTTGCCTTAGGGAAAATTTCTTGTTGGCAAGCCACTCGTTCTAACAGGTATGAGCAAACAGGAAAGTTTGAATACTGGCCAATCGGTACAGTGAGGAAATCGACACAATTCAGCTTTGGCAATATAGGACCATGGTTCGCCAAATGGAGGCTGATCGATTTAATAATAAGAATAAGAATAAGAATGATCGACAGCATGATATCGGTCTTCAACGCCGATGCTTCGCTACCGTACAACCGTGATTTATTTGAAACCATTATTATGAACTTAAGAATGAAGATGAATAGGAAAGAGACTTGATGCTAGCTTACCACATCAGTCCGAGGTGTCTACACCTCCAGACGCTTGTTCACACAATCTGGATAGAAACTGACAATAAGAACGTCACTAACATCAGATGCAGCCATATCTTGCAGTGTCTCCAACCAGGCACAGTGGGCATCACGCGGTCCCCATTCTGGAAGATGAGTAGCACCACCAAACGTTTCGCAGTCTCCTCCATACTCCTCCGCCAGGTCAAGGGTTAGCCCCCTCTCTGCCTCCGCTACTGCAAGTTGGGTATGGAAGACAGCACTCCCTTTGGCAAACGATGTTCTGGCATGCGCAGCACATGTCCCAACCAACGCAGCTTCTGGTGCTGAACACATTCTTCAATGGAAGTACCCGTTGCACGATCGACAACTCGTCTTATAATTGCCTGGCTGCGGATTCGCCGACTCCAAGCCTCACAAGGTATGGTTCTGAGACAAAGAACGTCGAACGCCTGGAGACTTGTCAGTTCGGCTGCTCGAACAAGCCAAGTCTCACGTCCATGCAACTAAATAGTCCGCACTATAGCCTGATACACAAGTCCCTTGAGATTCCGGGATACATCACTTTGACGCCATAGATTTCTAAAATCAAGTTAATCAGATGATGTTAGATCTGCTTGACATTCGACAATTACCTTTCAAGGCTGTTGTGGCGTCGAGACTTGTCGGTAGACAAATGTCTTGTCGTGACTTGGGTGTTCGGAGCGCAGAACGCCAAATTTGTTGACAGTTTATCGGAATAAGGGCCAACTCCATGGTCAGCTGGCAGATCCACCACCTGATCAACAAACAGCAAGACTCTGTAAGCATGCAGTTACTGTCACCGGCTGAAGCCAAAGACGGATTGCGCGAGTGCGTCAAAACAATTCAGCAGCTTACAAGCGCGACTGCTGTGTCATAGATGATCTCATGACAGTGCGCACCGGAAATCGCAATCTATTGTTCCTATCCACACCGAAGCCCTCCTACCAAACAAAAATAAAAACCTGAACATGGAAGCCTTCTGCTCCTGTGACGCTTTCTTCATCCGCTTTATCTGTCGCTACCTTTATCAACTACCATACATATGCAGCATTCTACGCACATTTTACGTGGCATCCTGCAGTCGGAACATTCTGGATTCCAAACTATGATCTACGAGGAAAATCTGGAAGCAAAATGATGTACCACTTAAAAAATCGCCGACAGTGTTCTTCAGGAATCGCGTTATTTGTCGCGCAAACAAACTATTTTATTTCGGAAACGGTCATTTTACTTCCGAGCATAGAAATCACGTCTGTTTATTTGTTTGTTTGTCGGTGGTTGCCGTTTAGTTGAACTATAAGGTGGCATTTAGTCATTGATATTCCAAATTTGCATGTATTTATTGTACTTGTATTCGCAATCCCTGCAATCAACTCACGGTCTGAGGAAGCTGGCTATTTATTAGAGTATTCGTGGTATACCCTGCCTCCGGCAGCGCCATACTGGTAAGAAGTGGATTCTTTCTCGACTCTAGTCCAGATCACTTCTCCATTTTCAAATAATTACAAGTATTTTTTACCTAAAATATCCCGGATTATTTTAGAGGACAAGGGATTCAATAGAAGCGCTTTGAGTAAGAATTTTTCAAAAGTACGATTGTCACATTATCAGAGCTGTACGATGGTACCACTGAAGGAGCAAGGTTGACAGTTATCTGCAGTAATCGTCCTACTTTTTCCTTGGAACGCAACCAAGAGTTTGGGCAAGAATTATCACGTTTCAAGGTATCGTAAACTTCTATGGGATTCAAGCCGCCAAGCCTTTCATCCTTGGAGTATACTCGATTTTATAACAAGGCAACCCGGCTTTAGAATAATTTGTTTATTATCTTTTGTTACAGATCACGTGAATGGTGCACAAAATGTAAACACGCTTTTTGCTTCCCCGATTAAATCTGGCGTCGAGACTTTCCAGTGAGCAATGGCGGTCTGTGAGGAGTTCATTTTAGTGACCAAGCACACAGGCAGGTAGGGTTTTAAAGCTGTGTGGAACGGCGTCAGTGAATGATATTATCCGTGATATCTGACTGCCTTTTTAAAGTATTTCTGCCTTCGGCAGTATTTTTTTTATTACAAATAACCCAACGACCGCGTACTTTTGCCTCCATAAAAATAACCTCATAGTTTATGGTGGTGGAACACCACTCAGCAGAAGTGAGAGTAAAGGCTGAATAGTACGGCAGGCCTATTTAAATGACCTTCAATCCTGATTTCGGTGGGAATATGAAAGCAGTGACTGTATATTGTCATTTGAAGACCACTATTGCTGAAAGTATCCACGATAAATGCTGATGAGCTCATCGTTTCGTTCTCCACAGTCAAAGTTTCATAGGCACCAAGGCGATTGCAAGTTTTCAAGACCGGAATAGAATTTAAATATATTAAGCATGCCGGTGCATTTCTGAATGGGCCTGATAGTTTCGCCTTTATTTTGCTTCTCGTCGCTTTCCACTTTCGTGGACTGGTGTAAGCATGGGCTAAGTTTGTAATAGACTTACCAGTCATTTGACTGGTATCTTTCATCTTCACTAGTAACCAAAGCTTTGAACCAATGGATTGTTGAGACTTGAGAGTTTCCTGGGAGTGCTCCACGTCAAGTTATAATTAGTCGGGTTGGGCAGTGGAACAGCGCACACTCCATCACGTATGTAAAAAGGTGTTTTCCTGCTGTTCTATACGCAACACGCTGTTTTGGAAGGGATCTTCAGGACAAGGACATTTCCTCTAACGCCGAGTTTTTCGGATTGAGTCCTCACTTAAGCAATGCACAGAAGGAGAATAAATGAACCTCGTCAAGATGTTCTGAGATACAAATCACAGCACTTAAAGTGAAGCGGGTTTCGTTGTGACCAGTTATAGCAGTAATTCTATTTACCTGGAACTTCTCCCAGAAAAATACCGACGGAAACCAAATTTCTTTCCTATGTCATGAAGACCGTCCATGTAGGTACTCAAGAAGTTCTCTCTTATTTTGAAGGTAACCAGAATGCGGCTTTATAACCATTCTCAGAAAATTCGGTTGCGTTTAAACCATATTCAGTTAAATACCTTAGATTTACACTTGAATATAACTTTTTAGCTTGAATGTTTGAGGTGTTTTGTCGACGTTGAGATCACCTGCACTGTCAGACTTTTGTAGAATTACAGAAGTTCAGTTAACAAAACCGTAAATTCTATCTTTTCAGAGTGTAGATGCGACAAAACCAGCCTCTGTAATACAAGGTTTCTGCTGGACGACAGAAACACGATTAAAACCCAATTTACTCGTATCATGCAGAGTGTATTCTGTTTTTTAACCGAAATAGGTCCCAACACAACAGTCCTGTTATCTCACCGACAAGACGGATATGGTACCTAATCCAGGACCCAAGCTAGGCTGGTCTGTTCAACAAAACATTTGTGCGATGGTCTTCTGGGTCGCACGCAGAAGTGAGCTGACTCGCCCATACCCTTTGTTATATCAAGGCTGACTTGGCGAATCAAAGAAAAATTGTGACGAATCCTAATTTTGCACAAGTTATGAACCAACTTTGAGTTAAACAGACACGAATTTTAATTTGTTATGTTTTGACAATTTTGTTTTTCGGAACTTGTTGGACCAGCCGCGTAACTGATGCTGAGCGCCCGTCAGAAGTCAAAGAATAAAATACCGGGAAATAATTTAATGAAATTGATTGCAGTTGCTTGAAGTGATCTTATGACCTTATGATCTTATGATCCTGGAAAGCAAATCACTACGAAGGAAATTCCAAAAGTGGAGAACGAATTTCTATTTTCTTTGGTTGCCTCGTCTGAACAGTAATCCAAGTAGTTTTTATGAAACTAGACTGTTGTTTCTATTTTGTGATGTAAGGACGCGTCATTTTGTTTTTTACTTCAATTTTACGTAAAGCGGCACCTGGCTCTAATCAATGGCGAAGGGTGTCGCATCTGTTCATCCAAGTTCATGAGTGATAAAATCAATACAATGTCCCAGCACAGCGATCCTCTTAAAATACGATCGGCAGACAGAAATCCTTTGGAACATTTCATCAGCTTATCATAGGAATCTGAAAAGATTTCCTCACATGCATGACGTGAAGCCAGAGACTCACCATGGGTTCACGAGAAACAGAAAAACCATACGTTACATGATGAACTGTCTGGAATAGTTTACTTAAATCGGTGTCATTCAAAGCAAACCCCTCTTATCCCTGTCTCGCAACGATACCGTGAGGGAATTTCCTTGCAATATTATCAGTTTCAACCACGAAACGGAATCTCTCGATTTGTTATAGACGGGAAAGGATTCCAGAGATCCAGAATACGCAAGCTTAAAAACGAACGCCTTAGAGAGCATGAACCACTTTCACATATGTTGTGCCGACTAAGCTACCACGGATGCTGGTCTCCCGTATACGTATGTATTTGATTTCATATCGATTGCCCACGACTCCGCCCAATAGATTGGCAGATGGTGTCGCTCAAAGCCATTAGCGAGCCAAAGGTGTAACTTCTATAACGATTTGGACGTTGATATTGTCAGATAACAAAAAGGCTGTTAATTAAAATTGATGTGTAAGAGAGGGGAATCGGATGATCTTGATTAGAAACCAGAGAGCATATGGCACCGATGAACGGACACGTACCAGCTTAGCAATTTTTCACTTAAGCTCGATGCTTAAGATGATACACAAGTGCCCATAGACGGACAAGATTAGTACACTCCTTTTTGACACAAAGTATCTGAAACGACCACTGGGTGTTATCGGTAGGATTGATAAGCAACAATAGACACCGGTAAAAAGACTCACTGAAGGACTTCAAAACCTTAAATTCACGAACTGGCACCAGAGCATTCTTATCGTTTGGATTTATGAACAGTTTTCGTGACCAGCGTTACATCTGAAAAACTAATATTATTGAGCATTGCTGTCTACTAGAGAATCACCTTAAAAACACATATTTGAAATCTTATTTCCGAGAC